TTTACTCGCTTCTGCGTCGGCTTCGTCTGCGTTGGCACCACTCTGCAAATGTGCTTCCTGAGCGCCGCACGCATCGCCAAACTAGCACCATGCTCAAGTCGACCTTGGCTTGAGAAATAAAAGAATGGGCCACGTGGAAAATGAAATTGAGGCCATCGAATGAGCGTCCTCTGTCACAAGAAGTGGAGGGCGTCCATGCAAGAGGGTGGTCTTGATGATGGCATCGAGGAGGAGGGACCTGACGGAGGAGAGCGTAGGTCTGCAGGAGCCGATTGCCACGGCCGGAGACGGAAGGAGGAGTGGAAGGAGTTCGTACGGCCTCCTCGTGAGCCGCCAGGTGACGAGTGACGGAGGAGGAAGAGAGGTCGTGTGCATGAGCGCTTCACTTTCCTGTGATTACTGGTGATGGGTGAATTTCCCCGGCGCATCGTTTAACATAACACAAATTCAGATGTGCAATGTATATTCATTTGCAGACCAAGCTTAATTGGACAGTTTCGCTACTACTACTATTTTTATTATTTTCAACGAGACAAATGCACGCACACAAGAACACGAGGTCACGCGTTTCATGACTATCGGTGCACTGCAAACACGTGTGTGTGCGTGCGTGCGCGTTATCCACATTGTGTTGTCGTGGACATCATGACAATGCCATTCGTTTACCCGGGAAAGCTTAATCGAGCCGTAAGATCATTTTCCATGAGGGTATAACTTTGGGATATTTTGGCCACTTCCATCAAATGAAGTCACGTCAAGTGTAGTTGTTCAAACGGAAAGTGGTGAGTCTCAGGGGACAGGGGTGAGTCTCAGGGGACAGGGGTGAGTCTCAGAGGACAGGGGTGAGTCTCAGGGGACGGGGGTGAGTCTCAGGGGACGGAGGTGAGTCTCAGGGGACGGGGTGAGTCTCAGGGGACGGGGTGAGTCTAATTCGCAAGAGTGAACCGGGTTACCGAAATTACAACTTTTAATGATTGCCTTCACACAGAAGAAAACTGCATAGAAGGAGGGGTGACACTCAGAGCTTCCATCTCCTGGCCACCTCACAATCCCGCGCCTGCAACACCTGGCAAGCCCGTGTGATGATCACCCATCCAAGCGGTAGAACTGGCTCAGCCCTGTGTGGCTTCCGAGATCTGACGAGACGGGGTCTGCGTTGCGGGGCGATTGGGTCGCACGTGCCACAGCGTCGTAGAGAGGCACGGTCGCGTGACCACTCTCAAAGCCTCTCCCGCTCCCTCCAGCACGCTGCGTGTTTGGGGTAAGCGCAGCTCGATCCACGCCGCCCGCGGGAGACGCCCTGGGCGGCGTGGAGTGCGGCCGCGACCCCACGGTGCCGTGGCGCCTCTCGTCCGTGGGTTCCCCCTCGGTGGCTAGGCGATGTTAACTCCCTCGCCTGGGGTACAGGAGGTTGTGGGCTCGATCCCGATCCTGACGCCTGCTGTATATTGGAATTTGCGTGTCTCTCTCCCCGTGGTCGCGCGGATATTTCTCTGGGTCCTCTGGTTTATTCCCTCCACATTTAGAACCAACGTGCGTTCAGAGTATTTGACTGCTATAAATGTCCACGTGATAAGCCACTTCGTTGGGCTGTCATTTGTGATGGCCACGTCGCTTCTGAAAAAGAGCTACATAGCCGAGCGGCCCTTACCCGGCAAAATAAAAACAGTTTAGTTTTGTTGTGTGTGCTCTCTCGTCACACCGGTCCCCTCGTCACACCGGTCCCCTCGTCACACCGGTCCCCTCGTCACACCGGCCCCCTCGTCACACCGGTCCCCTCGTCACACCGGTCCCCTCGTCACACCGGTCCCCTCGTCACACCGGCTCCCTCGTCACACCGGCCCGCTCGTCACACCGGTCCCCTCGTCACACCGCCCCCCTCGTCACACCGGCCCCCTCGTCACACCGCCCCCCTCGTCACACCGGTCCCCTCGTCACACCGGTCCCCTCGTCACACCGGTCCCCTCGTCACACCGGTCCCCTCGTCACACCGGTCCCCTCGTCACACCGGCGGGCCCGGCCTGGTGCCCATCTCCATTTGTAAATTCCTATGACAGGAAATCAGTCGCTCAATGGCACAACAACTGTTGACTTGTCGCAAAGGGCTCCGCGTTAATATTAATGTTGTGATTTAAAAGTGTTGTAACGTACACGGCCCCTTTGTCTACACATTGCCAGGCGAGGGCCTTCCGGCGCCTGTGCGGGTTGGTGAACCGGTGACTTCACGACGACGGTCAGTGCGGGTTGGTGAAGGTTTGGAGCGTGGGCCATGGAAGCATATACGCAGAGTACAGCAATGTACTTTCCTGTACGGCCCTCTGCTGATCACCACAGAGCTCCTAGGACTCCCTGAGAGTCCGTTAGTGCCTGGTGGCCACCCATCCCGCTGGTGTGTCACAAACAGCCACGGTGCTTTTGTTTCGCCCAGGAAGGCCTCGGCGAGCCTCTCAAAGACTGCTCTGAGCAGGGTGGCAATTGAGATGTTTATCCAATTAATATTCACGTAATATTGAGCCCAAAAAAACCTCACACTAGTGACTGGATAACTCTTACAGGTCTTCAGCCCACTTGTTGTACTGCCCGTGCGTCTCATCGTGTCTGCCTGTCTTAGGCAGGCATTCATCACAGGGCCTTTGTAGTGAAACAAAGCACTGAAGTGAACATGCATTTAAAGTTCTCGCTTGAAGCAGGCGAACCCACGCAGGGCCAGGTTTCTCTTCTATGCAAATAATTCTACACGTGTTCATTTTATACGCGAGCGGTCTTTGGGGCCCCGTTTTTAATGTTGACATCCAAATGACACATTTCTGTACACTATGTTTATCCAAATGCAGGCAATATGCGTGTAAAGCTGGGTAGTAAACGTTTTTGACGGAATCGCTGATTGGCCATGTAAATGTTTTAGGAGCAGATAATGTTGCAGGCAGCTACAACAATTACTCCAGGCATTGTTAATTTGCATTGATTTATTACAGCTCACAGCCGTAATACACTGGATTTACAGCCCTTTAATCCACTGCTGGATGAATGCCTCCCCCATGCCGTGTCGGCCATGACGGTTGCTTGACCATACTTCACCATGTTGGTCAGTGCAGGTTGGTGAAGGGGGGTGATCCAGGACCGGGTCGGATATCCCTTGCCACTGATGAGAGCCGGGAACTGAGCTCCAGTGAGGGGTTTGCAGGGCAGCAGTGCGCTAACCACTGTGCTATGGCTGTACATTGTACAGCGAGGATTTTTTTCCCGCATACATTTTATTTTATACGTTTAATGTAAGAGTTTTATAATTTTTTTTGTGTAGCCGCATCATTTTTTCGGAGGTCAATATTTCTTTACTGACGTTTGAATGTAATTGTTGAACCCTGTACCGGAGCACACGCGTATGTGCGCATGTGTGTGTGTGCATGTGTGTGTGGTGGGGAGCGGTAGTGTAGCGGTTAGTGCGCTGCACTACAAACCTGGCGACCCGGGCTCGATTCCCGCTCACGGCCAACATCAGTGACGATTATCTGAACCGGTCATGGGCCTCCCCTAAGTCGACTCGGCATCAAGTGAGTACCCGGTGCGGTGTGTAAACATCGCCACTGGGGAGACAAAGACGGCCCGGCGTGGTGTTGGTCACCCACCCCTTCGTATGCCTTGCTGCCCTTCATAGGTGCTCGCTAACAGCACTTGCTCCTACAGTCTAATAAGGCTATACAGGGGATCTTTGTTATTTTTGGTAGGTGTGTGCGTGCGTGCGTGTGTGTGCGTGCGTGCGTGTGTGCGTGCGTGTGCGCATGCGTGTGTGTGTGCGTGTGTGTGCGTGTGTGCGCGTGCGTGTGTGCGTGTGCGCGCCGTCGCCCTCTGTACCCAGCCCAGGTCTCCCCTGCCAGAGACTTGCTGATGAGCAGGGGATACTTCTCCTTCACAACTCTCTCCCTGCACGTGAAACTCTAACAATTGTTTACACATCCCACAGCCGCACGGACTTTTTTCACGAGCGTGAGCACCATTGGGTTTACGTGAGCAAACTCTGGAGCGGTTTTGACCTACGCCGTCTCATCGGCAGAGTCGGGCTTGACTTGTTGTGTCAGAGAGCAATCGCCCAGGAAGGTAAAATGGAGGTGGCCGACTAATTTCTGATTCATAATTTAATTCTCAACTGCACTTGCTGCCAAAGGCCCGTAATTATATGTCCTATTGTAATATCAGAAGCAGGCACACACTTGAAAGTAATGTAGGGAATAGCCTTTGTAACATGCGTACAAAGAACCCATCTTGCATGCACAGAGCTGATGTGCGCGTGAAGCTGGCTGCGGAAAGCGAATGTGTTTGTGTTCATATGCTATGTTACGTAACGATAAAATGTATGAAAAGAAAAATGAGAGGAGTTTACAGCCCTTTGTCAGTCCACTGCTGGATGAAGGCTTCCCCATGCCGTGTCGATCTTGGGAATTCTCTTCATACAGTGCAAAAAATAAATGTTGCTCTTATATAACGATCTTCATGTGGAACATCCCAGGGCGCTGTACAATGAAAGCTGTAATGAAAAAATAGATATTTTTTTGTATCATACTTAATCACCCTGGTCAGTGCGGGATGGTGACGTGAAAGGGCCCAGGACCATCGCCCAGGACTGGTGTGAGATCCGTGGCAAGGAATCTCGGTCAGGTCACTGGTTTGCTAGCGCAGTGTGCTAAACCACTGCGCCACCGCTCCACCACTCCACCAAATAAACTATGTCATCATGAACGACACCAATAATATTTAACTGTACCATATGAAAATTAACTATACTATATTATAATGAACTTCAAATCAAGATTGCACTTGATAATAAAAAAATGCAAAACACTGGGAAACTCAGTAGAATGTATAAACCTTTCATGACAATTACTGAAGGCTGAGTGGAGTCCACATGATGAGGTAGAAGTGAATGACAGCAACTTACTGCCATTGTGCAATTCTCTCGTTGAAGTGGCGCATGTAACCCGCTATGATGTACGGATCAACAACAGGGACCCTGACAAAGGAAATGGAGCAGCAACTGCAGAGTGCACACGGAAAGCACGGAGAGGCACCACGATGGGAATCACGCGGAGAGACTGTCCGGGTAGCGGGCGTGAGAGTGGTGGACGCGCATCTTGCAAGGTTTGATGCCCAGTGGGCGAGCCTGGCGATGGAATGGCGGCAGAGGGAGAGAGCGAGCCCCAGAGGGCGTCCGCCGAGGAGACGGAGTCCACGGTGGGATCGGCTTGTGCGCGAGCGGGGACGGCGTGGGGCTTTAGCGTTGCAGGACTGCACGGCATTGGCCCACGGCGTGGGGAGATCTGCATCCAGCAGTAGACGGAGCTCGCTCCCTGATCATCTCACTCTCTGGTCCCCGTGCCTCTGCTGGACATCTGTGAAAAAGAGCTTCATAGCTTCGTCAGGTTCCTCCAGAATAAATAAACATTCTGATGATGATGAATAATTATGTGTAATTTGCAGGCCTTCCATCAGTCCACTGCTGGATGAAAGTCTCCCCCACACACCATGTGAGTCAAGGGGGCTTTTTGACCCGACCGCACCGCGTTGGTCATCGCTGTCGGAAGGGGGTCAGGAGGCACGGAGCGGTCCACGTAACCCGCTGTGTCCCTGTGCCGGCCACGCGGCGCCCCGCACACACACACAGACACCGCACGAGCCACGTGCATCGCGGCTGCTTTAACGAACGCAGGTTAATTAATTAATGAAACCTCCCCCATTTTTATTGCACAAGAATCGCGGAGTAAGATGTTGGTCGGCTGACAGATCCTTCTCAAGAACGCGCACGTCAACACGCACGCTCGCTGCGGCGGATGATACCTTCACGTGAATAATTATTTTTGTGAGTCATTGCGATGATGGTGGCAGAGATAATGAGGGTAAGAAGGGAGCATTAATTCGATGGGTGCTCAGGTTGATGAAAACCCTCTTGAAAGGTTTATTTTCTGTCCCCCCCCCACTCGCTCTCACCGGGCGGAGGGGCTCTCTCGGCAGCGGCCGCCGCCACCGCCGCCGTGGGTGCCGGGCTCGGCGGGGGGAGCCCTCGCGCCAGATGCTCCACGTGCCGTGCAGCCGCCCGTAAATTCTCCGTGTCGGGGCCCAACCTGTAAACGATACTGTTTTATTTCCTTTTATTGGGGCGAAAGAAATCAAATCTCGCCGCCGAAATGTCAGGCTGTGACGCGGCAAAGCACGGCAGGACAATTATGCTAATGCGCAATCTGTTGAGGGGAAAATTCTCCGCTCCCCGAGGTCATTTTCACCGCAAGTGTCTATTCATTGCTCACCTTCCCTTCCCTCGCCACCGCCTGTGATGTCTCCGCAGAGTGCCACGGTGCCGCTCCTCGTGGGAAGATCAAGTTGTCTCAAAGTTGTTTTTGAAACTACAATCCCCTTGCATTCATCTCGCTTTCTCCATTATATTTTATTGAAAAATAAATTAGGTGCGCTGTATATACATTTTTTTGCGTCCACTGTGCGACGTGATAACCCGAGGATGCCTCGTGGTCCTGCTAAGATAAATACATTTTTGAAAAATGAATCGCTCTGAATGAGACGTCCGCGCTTTACGGCAGCAGACTGTCCCGCTACCAGGGGCCCCGAAAAGACGAGCTAATAGAATTACTTTACGCGAGGCAGCTCGTTTACATCGTGTGCAGCTCGTTGGCGGGTCGACGCCGCTTGCTTCCCGAGAATTCTCCCCGCCGCCGTGTGGCGTCGATCGGACGAGGAGGAGGAGGAGGGGGCAGGCTCCTCGCCCCCCCCCCCCCTGCGTACCGGGGCCCCCAGGGCGGGCCGCCGGCCGGAGTCGCGTTCCCCGGCGGGAGGGACGGGCGGGACGGCGGGACCGGTGGGGTCACGTGGCGCCCCGTGCCCGGCGAGCGCCATCTGGGCTGGGGGTTCGGGTTCGGACGGCCCCCTCACCAAGTGAGAGCGCCCTACCTCGGAGCACACCACACGGCGCGTATCATCATACGCTCATTATATAAAAATCTTGAGAGGAGCCGCGGTTTTGCAAGTGCTATTTTGCTAATTAAATGAACACCGAGATCTCACTAGATTATGAGCGTGACATTTAAAATCCGCATACCCCGCTGAAAGGTGTATATACTATTTTGGTATTTTCTACGTTCTGAGGAATGGAGCGGTGCTGCTGAATTTGACGATCTCCCGGCGCATTCAAAATCCTTTCATTTCTTTCTTCGCATCTCTCTCCTTTTAAACTTGTGTTTCGTTTGTGCGCACGCGCCCGCGCCGTGCGCGTGTGCCTTTGAACCATTCCGCCGTTTGTTGGAATAAATGTTATTGACTGTTAATATTTTTAGAGGTCAGGGGACCGCGTGAAATAAATAACGTCGCTTGACGCTCCGCGTTCACGTGGAAGTTGCAACCTTTTGTTGTCTCCGTCGCTTTAATTTGTCCGTATAAAGCAAGCTGGATGCATGCTGACAACTCGCGGCTTCTTGAATTTGTATTCCTTCTCCCTCTCATCTTCTTCTTCCTCGGCTTAATGAGCCACTTTGCGCACACGTGAGGTGTTATCTGGTGCTCCGCTACCGTGGCTGGTGGGGACGAGATAACCCGCACGCCCAGCAGCCCTCCTCCTCGTCCCGTCTCCCCCGCCTGTCATCTTGCACCACCCCCCCCCCCCCCCTCGTCCGCGCCCCATTCCTCAGGTGGCCTTGCTCGCCATCACCGGCCATTGAGCGCCCTCTCCATCACCGGCTCTTGCCCGCCGGAGCCATCGATGGGCGAATCGATTGCGACTGATCTGAATGAGCGCTCTGGCCGCGAGATTACATCTCCCCGGCGTAATGAGCTGCGACTCGGCCAGGAGAGATTGCGGTTTAACATTTTTTCGAAAAAGTTTGCAAAGCGTCTTACTTTTCTCTGGTGTTGGGCCATCGACCTTAGCGCGCTGTGGGCTCTAACAAATCAAAAAAGGCTGTTTATTTTGGGTCGGGTTATCTGCTTTTCCACCCTGCGCGGCTCAATACGGTTATTGGCAACGAGGCTAAGTGATGGGTCCTGGCGTGCCGAGCCGAGGTGCCGCACTCGCGGATTCGGCGTTCGTTTCCGTGGCCGGGGGAGCCTCCAGGCACGGTCCTCTCCCCGAGACATTTCGCCGTTTTGTCCACAAACACCCGCGGTGTTCGTGGAGTTGATTATTTCAATCACCTGCCCCTGACTGCTGACACCAACTGGCTCACCGGCACACGTGCGCGCGCCACCAGCACCGTCTGTCTGCCACCCAATTCACAGATTTGTGAATTGGGTGGCAGACACACAGAGTCCACGTGGCCGACATCCTTTGGACTCCGGTGAGCAGCTCAGGTGACTGAAAAAGCAGCCATCAAAGTTTTTTTTTTCGTGTACGGAGCACGCCGCACGAGGATGCAGGCGGCCAACTTTTAGTAATTTATTTAGCGGCTGGCTGCACTACCTTCACCTTAATTATTAATAGCTCAGTGTCTGCACTCTTCAGGCTTGATATATTCCCAATGTGGTGCTGTTTTTATCATGCAGATTGCCGCGCAACGCCCGCCCGCCCGCGCTCCGCGGAGCCCCCCGCGGGACGGCTCCGCTCGCGCCAAGTCGGAGCACGACACCAAAGTGGCCGATTCGGAGGCAGCGCCGTTGGGACCCCCGCGATGCCTCCGCGCCGGCCCCAACGCGACCCCCTGCCGCCAGCGAGGCTCTCGTGTGGGCGGAGAGCTCCGCTGCGAGGCGGCTCGCGTCACATTCTGAAAACGAGCTTCACCCGCGGCTGCATTTTGTTGACTCGCAAATGACACTCGCATTGTGATGATACGGAATAATGAAGTTGCTTTCCACAAAAAAAAAATATGGCACGGACTACCCAGAGTTTTTTTTTTCTTCTCTTGTGCAAGGGTGTTGACTTTTTTTTGGCGCTTCCAATGAACCATGGTTTAAATTAACTAGAGCTGTAAAATAAAGTTTTAATAGTAATACTCAAACACTGTATTGTGTTGCATTAAACAGGGGGGGAGCGGTGTCGACGAATATTGCCATATGGATCTTACCTCCAACTGTGGGCTGAATGTTGCTTGGCAGTGGCTCCCTTCATCCAATGCTCTGGCCAAAAGCCTCTGTTTTGGGTAGAAGGGCCACTGCAAGACAAAACCTTCCTCTCCATATGTTCCATTCATTCCTCCTCCATTGGATTACTGAATGCATTGGATGTGTACAGCATGACTTCTGCCCAAGCGTGCATTGCATTCACATGGCTATCATGGAAAGCGATGAACTCGCAGCTCTTCCAGCACACCAAGGCCTCTACCCTGAACCGTTTAACCCAGCGCGGCTCGACGGCCGGCTTTTATTCACGACGACAACATCAAGCATCGCACCACAGGCCCGGTCGCGCCAACGCCAAACCGGGACCTGCCATTCATTTGGAACCCGCACGGTAGCGAAGGCGCTCGCGCGGGCAGAGCGCGCTGGCGCTCGGGCGGTGGCGAAGCGGTCGTCCGGCCGAGGGAGCGTGGTGCGTGGTGCGTGGTGTGCGTGATGTACGTGGTCCGTGGGGCGTGCTGCGTGGTGCGGAGCGAGCGGGACCCCCTCGGGTTCGGCGGCGACGCGCACGGCGGGGGGAGGGGGGGGGGGATCGACTCCATCACCCGCGAGCTCCAAAGCCAGCAGAGCCCAAAGCTAACAATGGACTTGGCAGAGGTGGGGCACGCGTGCCCATATTTACAACATAAACAACCCAGACAACACTCTGAGCCCGTATAATTTAATTTTAATCAGGGAGTGGGGAAAATTGCAATTGGACCTAAGCTCATTTATATGCATAAATCTCTGATGCATATTATGGTGATTCTTTTTTTTACATTTTTTTTCTCGATTTCTTCCCCCCACCGCCCCCCTTCCTTATCAGAATTGTAAGAAACCTGCCAAGTTATGAATGCAAATGTGGAGGCGGGGTAAGTTGTGATGGTAAAAACTAATGAAACATGAAGTGTGAGTGGCAAAGGCGGAGCCTGCATAATGGCCAGAGACGGGGAGCTGTCCATATGGACTCTTCACACTTGGATGTACTGTTTTGTTTTCCGAAATGCAAAACAGCAAGTTTCTAATTTCCCTGCAAATGAAATGGATGCAAATGAAATGAAAGCCTCTTAATCTGTGCATAATTTAAGGGGAAAGTCATTATCCCATCGCCGTTATTTTATTAAGCAGAGAAATTCGGGCTGTTGCGCAGGTAATTTCTCACGGCTCGGTTTAATGCATATTTTACTGTTTTTAGAATTAGGGCACGGCCGTCCTGCGGTGGGCGGCACGCCGAGCGGCGCCGCTTGAGCCCGCGGCGGCCTCAACCGCCGCGGGAACGCAGGCGGCCAGCCCTGACTCTCTGTCCCTGCTACAGCCCTGACTCTCTGTCCCTGCTCCAGCCCTGACTCTCTGTCCCTGCTCCAGCCCTGACTCTCTGTCCCTGCTACAGCCCCGACTCTCCATCCCTGCTACAGCCCTGACTCTGTCCCTGCTACAGCCCTGACTCTCTGTCCCTGCTCCAACCCTGACTCTCTGTCCCTGCTCCAGCCCCGACTCTCTGTCCCTGCTACAGCCCTGACTCTCCATCCCTGCTCCAGCCCTGACTCTCTGTCCCTGCTCCAGCCCTGACTCTCTGTCCCTGCTACAGCCCCGACTCTCTGTCCCTGCTACAGCCCTGACTCTCTGTCCCTGCTCCAGCCCTGACTCTCCATCCCTGCTACAGCCCTGACTCTCTGTCCCTGCTCCAGCCCTGACTCTCTGTCCCTGCTCCAGCCCTGACTCTCCGTCCCTGCTCCAGCCCTGACTCTCCCTCCCTGCTCCAGCCCTGACTCTCTGTCCCTGCTACAGCCCTGACTCTCCATCCCTGCTCCAGCCCTGACTCTCTGTCCCTGCTCCAGCCCTGACTCTCCATCCCTGCTCCAGCCCCGACTCTCTGTCCCTGCTACAGCCCTGACTCTCTGTCCCTGCTCCAGCCCTGACTCTCCATCCCTGCTACAGCCCTGACTCTCTGTCCCTGCTACAGCCCTGACTCTCCATCCCTGCTACAGCCCTGACTCTCTGTCCCTGCTACAGCCCTGACTCTCTGTCCCTGCTCCAGCCCTGACTCTCCGTCCCTGCTCCAGCCCTGACTCTCTGTCTCTGCTACAGCCCTGACTCTCTGTCCCTGCTCCAGCCCTGACTCTCTGTCCCTGCTACAGCCCTGACTCTCCATCCCTGCTACAGCCCTGACTCTCTGTCCCTGCTACAGCCCTGACTCTCTGTCCCTGCTCCAGCCCTGACTCTCTGTCCCTGCTCCAGCGCCGACTCTCTGTCCCTGCTACAGCCCTGACTCTCCCTCCCTGCTCCAGCCCTGACTCTCTGTCCCTGCTACAGCTCCGACTCTCTGTCCCTGCTACAGCCCTGACTCTCCATCCCTGCTACAGCCCTGACTCTCTGTCCCTGCTCCAGCCCTGACTCTCTGTCCCTGCTACAGCCCCGACTCTCCATCCCTGCTACAGCCCTGACTCTCTGTCCCTGCTACAGCCCTGACTCTCCATCCCTGCTACAGCCCTGACTCTCTGTCCCTGCTACAGCCCTGACTCTCTGTCCCTGCTCCAGCCCTGACTCTCTGTCCCTGCTCCAGCTCCGACTCTCTGTCCCTGCTACAGCCCTGACTCTCCATCCCTGCTCCAGCCCTGACTCTCTGTCCCTGCTACAGCTCCGACTCTCTGTCCCTGCTACAGCCCTGACTCTCCATCCCTGCTCCAGCCCTGACTCTCCGTCCCTGCTCCAGCCCTGACTCTCTGTCCCTGCTACAGCTCCGACTCTCTGTCCCTGCTACAGCCCCGACTCTCCATCCCTGCTACAGCCCTGACTCTCCATCCCTGCTCCAGCCCTGACTCTCTGTCCCTGCTCCAGCCCTGACTCTCCGTCCCTGCTGCAGCCCTGACTCTCCGTCCCTGCTCCAGCCCTGACTCTCTGTCCCTGCTCCAGCCCTGACTCTCCATCCCTGCTCCAGCCCTGACTCTTTGTCCCTGCTACAGCCCTGACTCTCCATCCCTGCTACAGCCCTGACTCTCTGTCCCTGCTCCAGCCCTGACTCTCCATCCCTGCTCCAGCCCTGACTCTCTGTCCCTGCTCCAGCCCTGACTCTCTGTCCCTGCTCCAGCCCCGACTCTCTGTCCCTGCTCCAGCCCTGACTCTCTGTCCCTGCTACAGCCCCGACTCTCCATCCCTGCTACAGCCCCGACTCTCTGTCCCTGCTACAGCCCCGACTCTCTGTCCCTGCTACAGCCCCGACTCTCTGTCCCTGCTACAGCCCTGACTCTCCGTCCCTGCTCCAGCCCTGACTCTCTGTCCCTGGCACAGCCCTGACTCTCTGTCCCTGCTACAGCC